GTCCATCAAAATCGGCAGAGGGTAACTCACTAAGAAATGGATTTTTTCGGAACAAAAGCAGCAATGGAAGGTGACTATACTCGGGGAAAAGGAAGAACAAAATAACGATAATAGCTGGCGATACAGATCAGAGCAGGGAGGTTGTAGGAAAAATACATGAGCCAGCAGCCGTGAGATATTGGATGGAAAAGATAGGACCCCCGCCAGTAGTAGCTTGCTGGTTAAGGAACTTAGTGCCCCTGTTTCCAAGGAATGTATAGAGCCTCATCGAAAAAGGGAATCCAAAACCCTACAAACTAAAGGCAGAACAAATGGTGTGGTTGGAGGAGGAGTTAAATCGGTTAGAAAGGCTGGGTGCTATAAAAAAAGTAGGATCAGGATTGCTTTGCCCAGTTTTCCTGTTGGAGGTTTCTCCGATTTTCCTGGTGCCCAAGCCAGGCCCAAAACGCTACCGCCTGGTAATAGACTTAAGGAGGTTAAATGAAAGGCTCCCGGAAAAATCATTTCAATTCGAAGGGTTGGGAGGTTTATTGAGGTCAATTGGAAAAGGATGGTCTATGATTACATTAGACCTAAGAGATGGGTATCACCATGTTCTAATAGAGGAGGAAGCTCGACGTTTTCTGGGGTTTCGGGTGGGGAATTTCTGGTACCAGTGCCGAGTATTGCCGTTTGGCCTTTCCCAAGCAGTTTGGATTTTTTCAAAGATAATTCAGGCATTAGTCGCCCATTGGAGATCAAAGGGTATTGCTTCGGGCTCCTATGTCGATGATATATGGGTAGCCACCCTTCTGCAGTAATATTGGAGAAAATCAGGGACGAAGTCATTTTGCCAGACCTGGAAAATTGTGGGTTTGTCCTGGCTTGGAACAAGAGCAGTCCGATGCCATCAAGAAAAATAAAGTTTTATGGTCTAATTGTGAATACGGAAAAGGCACAGGTGATCATGCCACAACAAAAGCTAGAGGAGACAAAAGCTTGTTTGAGAACATTGTTGGAAATAAATTGGGTAACAGCCAGACAGTTGGCAAGAGTTACGGGCAAGGTTCAGAGTTTAGCAAGGGCCTTTGCCCCAACACAAGTAAAATGTTTGGAGTTCTACTCTCTTATCGATACAGCAAACCGTCAGAGTTGGAGATGGGACGAAAGAATTTGTCTATCAGAGCAAGCAAAAATGGATGTGCGTTGGTTGTTGGACAACCTGGGAACATACAATGGCTGCCTGGCCTGGAGACCGTCATTAATAAAAAGCCTGTACGTAGATGCCTCAACAACCGGTTGGTGTGCAAAATTGGATGGACAAACGGCATTCGGAAATTGGCCGGAAGTGCTAAGTTTTCGAGAGATTGCAAAACTGGAAGCAGAAGCCCTTCTGCTTGGCCTTCGGAGTTTCGCAAATTTGTTGGAGGGTTTTTGGGTTCTAGTGTTTATAGACAGTCATACAGCACTAGCGACAATGAAGTTAGGCAGAAAATGCTAGTGGCAAAAAGAAGCCTACAGAAACTTGTGGCAAGTTTGTTTGGAAAAGGACATTTGGATATAAGAGATGAGGTGGATTCCTTCGGCACTAAACCCGGCAGATTTTTGGACCCGGGTCTTCGACTCCTCAGATTGGCAGGTCAGAGATGAGGTTTTTTGACAGATAGAGGCCACATTTGGGCCACATTCAATAGATCAAATAGCATTACATTTAAATACAAAAGTGCAAAGGTTCAACAGTTATCATTTTTGCCTGGGTTTAAAAGCAATAAATTACTTTACCCAGAGGTGGGAAAACGAAAGAAACTATGTGTGCCCCCTCTACATTTGATAAAGAAAGTCCTTCACCATGTAAAAAGTTGCAGAGCAAGGGCTACAATCATAATCCCGGAATAGTTATCAGCCGAATGGTGGCCGCTACTCCTAGAACTAAATTGGGAGGCGTTGATCCTGCCAGATCCAAGAACCACATTTGTGCCTGGCCCGTCCGGTCTTGTAGAACCTTGGAGGAACCCACGATAGAAATTTTGGCCATCCATATTCGTCCATAAAGGAGCTGTCAGAGAGAGCAAAGCAATTAGCAAAAAATGCAGTGTCCCCTTCTACAAAGCTAAATCGGAGAAGTATTGGGATCTTTATGAGAAATTTTGTAAGAAATTTGGCCAGGATATGAAGAACCCACTGGAAGAGGGTATTTTGGTGTTCATTATGTGGCTAGACGTAATGGGCCTGGGGCCACAAACCCCCAGAGTCCTACAGGTGGTTGTAAATAATCTGCGTTTTGAGGGAAAAGGGGACTTTAGAAAGTTATTAGCTGTAACACAAGTATTAAGGGCGATAAAAAAGAAAGCATCAAAAAATAAAACACCGGATTGGCCACGCAACCTACTACCGATAATAGCATTGAGATACTACGTGGATGTGCCACCCCACAGGGCCGATATATCAATATACAAGAGGGATATAGCCTTAGTCGCTCTTGGATTAAGGACGATGAGAAGACCGGGAGAGTTAGGAAGTCTAACCTTGGAGGATATAAAATGGGACAATGATGGGACCTTGTGGGTCCAAATATGTAAATCAAAAACGGACCAATTTAAGAACGGTAGGTTTATTCCCGTTGAAAACACAGGATCAAAATATTGCCCAGTAAAGTTACTGAAGCAATACTTAGAAATCCGACCAAAGACAACCATGAAGGCACCACTATTCCTATCAAAGCAAGGAAAGAAGGTCTCAGTCTCGGCAGTTGGTTCAATAGTAAAAAGGTTCGCTGAGCACGCAGGCTTGAATGGCAGATTTACAGCGCATTCGTTGCGAATTGGAGGGGCCACAGCTGCAATGACAGCAGGTATGAACCTCACCCAAATTCGAGCAATTGGAGGTTGGGACTCAAAAGCCGTTATGTTGTACCTAAGGACCGTATCCACTGCAAAGGCTGGAGTCTCTAGGAAAATGGGGTTTTAGAAAAAAAAAAAAAAAGAGGGACGGTATCTACTATTAGAAGCCAGAACATTCAAAAAAAAAAAAAAAAAAAGAGAAGGGGAAAAGGGAAAAAGCGGTGTCCACTATTAAAGTTGGAACCAAAAAAAAAAAAAAAAAAAAAAGAGGAATGTGAGTTAATAATGCGTAGTGATAATAAGGGATAATGATAATAGTCAACTAAATTAGTGATAGTATTCATTGTTGGAAATTTCTTGGCTAAAATTGTGAGGGATGGTATCCACTATTAAGAGCTGGAACCTCCGTATGCTAATTGTTAAGTAAATAAAGAAAATAATGCATAGTAAATATTAGTAAACATAAAGGATAAAGGGTTTGTTTCCTAACCCTGAGCGATTCTTGTCAACAATCCCATATTGTACTAATTAGACAAAGGGTTTGTTGGCCATAGAAGTCGTTCATTCGATAGAAGGGACAGGTTCTATGACGAACAATAATAATGACCCGCTTGTGAACGAAGTCACAAGGTGGACATTATTGTGAATCACTTAATTCCATGTGATGATAGATCACGGGCCCTGTATGGTCCGAAATTGAATATTTGTGTAACTAGATGATCTACTTTGGCCTTTGTTCTTGAATTTTTCTGCTCGACATTGTGTCCAGTGATCCCCCCCATTTCACCCAAAAAAAAAAAAAAAAAAGGGGGGGAAGGAAAAAGGGAAAGAAAGAAAAAGAAGAAAGGGAGAAAGAAAAAAGAAGGCAAGAAAGAACACGATACTCGCCAAGTCTGGTCATGTGACAGTCAGGTGACTTGCTTCACGACCCCATCCCATATTGTACTAATTAGACAAAGGGTTTGTTGGCCATGGAAGTCATTTATTCGATAGAAGGGACAGGTTCCATGACGAACAATAATAATTATTTATTTTTATTAATTAACTTTTGTTTTTATATTTAACAAAATAAATTTCAAAAAAATTTTAAAAAATTTGTCAAACTAATATACAAAAATATATTAATAAAAGATTATTTAATTTGGATAAACCTTTTAAAATATATATTTTTTATTCTTCTAACTAACTTTTTTGATCTTTTGAATAACTTGTATTTAATAAAGTAAATTGATTTATTTAGTAATATTTTGACTTTACTATAGAGTAACTACTAATAATTATATAAATAGTTTATTTTTAAATCTAAGAAATTTTTATATTTTTCTTTAAAAAAGAAAATAGCTTATTATTAGAGGTAAATTATTTTTGACAATATATAATATAGAATTTAACTAATTTTAACTATTGGTTAAAACAATAAATTTTAATTACCTTTTATTTTTATATAAAAAAATTATTATTTAAAGATTAGGTTAGAATATAGACTATACTAAATTAGAATATAGTTACTTATATGCAAAATTAGATGTTAAAAACTTCTATTTAATAGCCCAAAGCTAGTTTTTCTAATAAAATTTTGTGATATTGATGATTTTTAATTTTTTTAAAAAATTTCTTTATTTTTGTTATACAAGATTCTGTATTCTGATTGGTAAATCATAGGATAGTTAATGTCACTATGTGGCAAGTTAGCAATACTCTATAATATATATATATAATTTATTAAACTTAAACATATTCATAAACTTAAACTAAACTTAAACTAAACCAAAACTTTGAGTTTAGATTCAGTTCAGTTCAGGTTCAGATTTAAAAATCTGCAAAATTTAAAGTTTAGTTTAAGTTAATTAAATTTAAACCTAAATCTAAATTAAACTAA